TTTGCCCCCCCCCCCCCCCCCGTGCTTTATTATCTTAATTGGCCAGGTGACAGGATGATCTGATTTGTTCTAGTTCAACAATTATTAATTGAGTATAAGCTAGAGGAGGAGAGTGGTGCTGTACTCCAGAGCAGTGATCACCAACCTTTCAGACCTCACGGACCACCAGTGGTCCTCGGACCACCGGTTAGCAACCGCTGCGCCAGAGAACTCAGTCCCTGCCAGGTACCCAAACAAGTGTAAGAACTAGGAATTTAAAAAGCAGAAGAGCAGGTGAAGCTCTCACTGTGTGTTAGGCATTGTGCTTAACGCATCATCCTATGTAATCTCATAAAAGCACCATGAAGTCGGTACTGTTGTTATCCTATTTTATAGGTAAGGAAACAGAGGCTTAAAGAACCCAAGATCACAGAGATTGTGGCAGAGTTTGGAAGGTTGGCTCCAGAACCTGCATCCTTCACCTCGGTGTGGCACCCTCTAGGCCTGCACAGAGTAGGCATTTGATAACCATGTGGAAGCCCATGAGCATGAGCATCAGAACACTGATGCCTGGAGGTGACGCTTAGTTAAGGAAAGCGTGTTTGACCAGGGACACACATAGGCAGAGCAGCCTGGAATCTCCATCTTAGGGAGAAGCACTTATTCAGGGCAGCTTTCCACGTCATCATGAAAATGGCATGAGCCTTGTCTCTCTCACATACACACACACACACACACACCATAGCAGCCCAACATTCCACCTTTATCTGTCCCAGAGCGAAGCCAGGCTCAAGCCTTGTCCAAGGGTAGCTCGTCTGTCAGCACCTGGGGAAGATAGTGCAGTGACTAATGAAAGGCTGGATCTAGTCGGCAAGTAAATGTTCAGTCTGAGCACCTAACATAGAGCCAAGTCCCTTCAGAGGCTCATTAACTATCAGTTTGTAAGGATGGAGAGAAGGAGATGCTCTTCCAGGGGTGGGCAAACTTTTTGACTCGAGGGCCACAGTGGGTTCTTAAACTGGACCGGAGGCCGGAACAAAAGCATGGATGGAGTGTTTGTGTGAACTAATATAAATTCACAGTAAACATCATTACATAAAAGGGTACGGTCTTTTTTTTTAGTTTTATTCATTTCAAACGGGCTGGATCGGTCCGTAGTTTGCTCACAGCTGCTCTGCCTTACACTAGACCAGTGGTTCTCAACCTCGGCTGCCCATTAGAATCATCTGGGAATCGTTTTAAAATCCTGATTTCTGGGCCTCATCCGCCGGAAATTCTGTTTCTTTGTTACTCATGTTGTGGTCCCACCCCATAACAAAGAAACAGAATTTCCCGAGGATGAGGCCCAGAAATCAGGATTTTAAAAAGATCCCCAGGTGATTCTAATGTGCAGCCAAGGTTGAGAACCACTGCTCTAAGTCTTCACAAGTAATAGACCACCCACCGAATTCATACAGGCTAAGGGCCAGAATGAGATCTCTAGCTATTCAACCTTATTCAGCCCCTTCTCAGCATGCAGAATCAACCCCTGGCATGCAGACCTACAATCCCCACACACTCTAACTCACACACATCTCCATTCCAAAGCCTCCCTCACACTCCTAGAAGCCAGCCTGACTTCTGGTCCTGCTCCCCACAGTATAGGGACAACGCCCATCACCAGGCCGGCTGTCCTTGAGTGTTCCACCAGAAAGAACTTCCTGTCTCTACAGCAGTTGGTTAAAAACAACAACAAAACAGGCCCTGGTAATGCTGCAGAGCAGAGCCTGGCCAACTAGAGCTCCCTGGCTCTTGGGATGAGGGACAAAGACCAAAGGATGAGGCGGTGACCACCTCCCTCCCCCCACCCCCTCCCCAGGGGGAAATCACAAGTGATGTTTGCTTCTAACCACTGCGGAACTGGACTCCACATTTCTCAGAGGCCCCCATGGCTGGAAGAGTGCATGCCCCTCCAAACATAGGTGGTCACACGTCACAGTTGCCCTAGAGCAGAGAGCAGCCCAAAAAGTCTGTTCCAGACCAGAGCCAGGTGACCCCCTCTGCCTCGAGAGTGACTGCAGCTGACATGAGCTCACACTTTCCTCTTTCAGATTATGATGTGTGTGCCGAGGCCCCCTGTGAGCAGCAGTGCACAGATAACTTCGGCCGCGTGCTGTGTACTTGTTACCCGGGATACCGCTATGACCGTGACAGACACCGGAAACGGGAGAAGCCCTACTGCCTGGGTGTGTTGGCAGTGCACGTATTTTTCAGCTCCAGACACTGTGCCTCTTTCAGATGAGTCTGTGCTTGCTTGGACGCTCTGCATCAGTGGGACCAGCTCCCAGGGGCCGCTTTGATCTTTGATTCCTGCCCTTCCCTCCTGATGTTTGTTGGATGCAGTGTGTTGGCATGATCCTAGGGCAGCGGTTCTCAACCTGTGGGTCACGATCCCTTTGGGGGTCAAATGACCCTTTCACAGGGGTTGCCTAAGACCATCGGAAAACACATATATAATTACATATTGTTTTTGTGATTAATTACTATGCTTTCATTATGTTCAATTTGTAACAATGAAATTGGGGCTCACCACAACGTGAGGAACTGTATTAAAGGGTCGTGGCATTAGGAAGGTTGAACCACTGTTCTAAGGGATCACTGCCCTTCACCTCCATTATTGAGATGAACGATGACCATGGAATTCTTCAGGGAGTTGGTGCCATCAGATCTTCATGGGCAGTGAGATATATGAGCAAGAAAAGGGGAACATTAGCAAATGTAAATTAGGAGAATATAAAACAGAACATTAAGTGGGAAGAAATGTAAAAACAGAAATGAGAGTAAGCATTCTCTCAGGAGAGAAGTAGAAGGAGAGGCTGGGAAAGAGGGCGCCCATGTGGCAGACAGGTTGGGAGTCAGAGGGAGCTGAAGCCAGCCACGGGGGGCTGCAGCTGAGCAAAATCAGCGCTGCCATTGCCACGGGTGTGGTCCCACCCCCAGCCTGCACTCTGAATTTCTAAGGCAGGTTTATTGTTCCCTGAAGCCATGTTTCAAAGTGTGGTCAGTCCTGGCTAACCTCTCAGAAACATCTAAGGTCTCTCTTTAAAAAAAAAAAGTGGCCTCCCCTCCAGACTCTGAAGGTGGGACTGGAAATCTGCATATATGCAAATGCCTCTAGTAACTCCCATGCACAGTCAAGTTTGAGCATCAGCTTGAGGATGAACTTAGGAGACTGGCGCATGACCCAAGTGGAAAATAAAGGAGCTGCAATGAGCAGGGGCTCTAGAGAGAACCATTCAAAAGAAGTTCTAGATATTAGGTCTCCTGTCTTCTCCCCAGGGCACCTTGGAAGTGCCCTATGCTGACAAGGAATGGGATTGAGGCCACCAAGTGAATGGAGTGGGGACCCAAGTCCCCTCCTACAGAAAGCATGGGATGCCACTCTGGACCCCTAAAGCCCCAGGCACAAGGGCTTATATTTGTGGTATGGTACCCTGTTCTTTTCACTTGGGGATCAGCAAAGCCAGCTTGCTGCTGAGTTCCATCCATTTCTATCTCTCAACCTTCTCTGGACATAGAGGCAGCTCCACGCTTAGGTGTAGGGCAGGGGCACACAGAGGGCGTGGTCAGCCTGAGGAACTGCAGAGGAGGATCCAGCTATGTGATATCATCTACAGAGGACATAGCATATACCGCCAAGGGAAAAGATGACCACACTCCCCTCAGCACACACAGGGCCTGCCAGAGGTGGGTCCATGGCAGCTTGTCTGGGGAGTAGTTGTTGGAATCCGGAAGCGAGGACTGGGCTGGGTCAGCTGCCACATGTGCACAGTCTCCCACTCACTGCCACCCAGGTCTTCAGTGAATGAGAGAAAACAGACTTGGGCTCCTTCTCTTCTTCCTGGTGGGAAACAGTTTTGATTCTACCCCACTCAGGGGAACAAGTGTGTGATGTGCTCAGTTCATGGGGACTCTTATTACTGGTTACTTGTTTGAGGGTCTCACGGCTCATTTCCACAGCTCACGAGGAGTCTGTCTGGGTCATTGACGAGGCTGAAATTTCCTGGGGAGAACTCTCTCCGTTAGGCCCATTATAACTGTTTTCTTTGATCAGAAGTGGCTTTTCCCAGGTACCATCACATCTCTTAACTGGGAAGGAGTCCTTCCTAAGTGACCTTGGGTCACCACATGCTACTTGGAATGATAGCCAGACATAAAGAAAACATAAAACCCGTGGCACACTGGGTCCTGGCAGAAAACCATTTCTATAATGCTCACTTTTGCAGAAAACTGTTTCTATAATGCTCACTTTTCAAAGTGTGTTGCCATTGGGGAGCTTGTTTTCTCACCTAAGGAGCCTTATGAAGTGTGTAGGGCAGTCTTCATTATCATGAGTTACAGGTGACAACTGTGAAGGCTGGCGATGCCTGCACCAACCACCTGACGTGGTAATGGCAGAGCCACAACCAGGAACCCCATCAGTGATCTGTTGTAACCATGGTGACACGGCCTGATGTCTTCCTGTCACTCAGGTTTCTAGCTTCCTGCTCTATTCCAAGCTTCTCTGTTAGAGTCTGACAAAGTGTGCTTTGCAGACATAAACATGTCACTTGTGTTGGAAGTCAATTCTTGGAAACTAAGTGTCATCTGCATTTTGGTCCAAACCTAGATATCGACGAGTGTGCCACCAGCAATGAGACTCTGTGTGCACACATCTGTGTCAACACCTTGGGCAGCTACCGCTGTGAATGCCGGGAGGGCTACATCCAGGAGGACGACGGGAGGACATGCATCAAGGGAGACAAATACCCCAATGACACTGGTGAGTGGGGCAAGTATGGTGGGTGGGTGGCTGGATGGATGGATGGATGGACAGGCACTAGGAAGGGGCATTTATATGAATGGTAGGTGTGACTGGGTAAGAGGAAGGTAGGACATCAGGTCAAGTCTCTTCCAATGAGACCTGGTGAGAGTGATGCCCGTGAGCAGCAAGGTTGTGAACTGGTGTGTGTTTGAAGAAGCTCTCCACCAAGCAGAGGTGGTGTGCTTGTGGATAAATCAGTAGAGCTTAGTTGCATGCTTAGACCAAACTAGGATGAGCAAAGAAGAGGCCAGAAACACTACGTTCTCTCAAAAGAGAATGGGCTGAATATAAATAGGAAACATTTCCATGTAAGTAAGCTATCTACATCAGTGCAGCTCAAAGTACACAGTCCGCGGCCCTGTGCCTGCCGACAAGCTATTTGTGATCTGATTCAGGACTGGGTAGAAACAGAAGTTGAGAATGTTTAGAAGTTTTTATTCTGATTTGACAGAGAAATTTTGTTTAGATCCAAAGAGTTCTGCTGGTATTTTATGCTTTATTTTTCTAGCAATTTGTTTTAATTGTATTTTGCAAATACAATCACAGTGGAGTGGAAATTTTTAAAAGCTGGCCCTTCTTCGCAGCGTTTGAGAAGCTGATTGAACTGAGATGTCTGATCCCTAAAGATATGATTAGCTCGAATATTGAGTTACTTCCTTATTTAAGTTTGGAGGGGGAGCGAGGGAAGGGGCAGGGGAGGCAGGAAGGAAAGAAAGGGGTTGGGGGAAGGGAAGGAAAAGAAGGCTTTGTGCTCCTTATCCAAGGCTCACAAGGCCAGGAAGTTGTCATCTTCCAGAAACCAAGACTCAGATCCTCTCTGTTATCCTGGAAGGGGCCTGGATGCTGGCAGTGGCATGGTGAGGCTGCCTGGGTCTGGGCCATCTGTGGGTGGGGAGGGAGCGAGTCCCAGGTACCAAGAAATGCAGGGAAATGAAAGGCCAGAACTGTCTGGGTACTCAGGAGCTAGTTAGCGATTTTGGGGGTGTAGGCTGAGGTTCACAAAGGGGCGGAAGGCAGTTGCCATTGGCTCATCACAGCGAACAGCTGGGGACCAGCTGCCTCCCACGGGAAAAACTACAAAGCACAAGTATGAGGTTGAGTCATGAGGAAGCCACCATATATTAGAAATAGAGGCAAAATATCTGTTTGGAGCCAGCTCAGAATTGGGCAATTTGGGGTAACGTGAATGAATCAGAGGCCCTGTGAAATCTACTGAAAGCCAGAAGCTCGAGGGACCCGCGTGCCCAGAGGTGCTTAAAGCAGGGGTCCGTTGGGAAAAAAAAACGTGTGCAGGTGGCTTTTCTTAGAATTCAAATTTAAAATCCCTTCATTTTTGTTTCATGGTGGAGAGGGTGGGGGAGGGGTGGGACATGTCACTTACCTCTTAGATTATGTCCTATATTGAAAGGAAGAATCTCACTGAAAAAATGAGGGGCAGCCTCTTAGTCACTGATACATGGATGTGTGGGTCGACTTAAGAATTAGCAGCAGGAGAGCAGCGTTCCCATTTTTCATTCTGGAATTGGATTTCCAGCTGCACTCTGAGCCAGGCAGCCCGAGGCTGTGGGCCACTCAGCCTGCCAACTCCATTGTCTCTTTGCCTCACGTTTCTATTCAGGTGAAATCCCATTTACGTGGGCATGAGAGGCAGTGCTGAGCAACCCAGTCTAGAGCACAACCATCAGAAACAGCAACCAGTGCTTACTGCCGAGTGGCAGGGTGGCCTTTGATGGTAGGGATCTGGTAAGACCTGGCTCTGCCCCACCAGCAGTTCCCACCTGGTGGGACAGTGACCTGCCCAGAGACTTGGTCTTAACCAGCAGAGACCAGAGAAGCAGAGACTAGTGTGAGATGTTATTCACTGGATTTACTGGTTCTTTGGTCTCAGTGGCCTCCACCTCTTGCAATGATTCTTAGGTTCTGCAACCACATCCCTCTTCAGTCTCATACGTTGCACTGCTGTGTGGTTCCCTAGGGATGGCTCTGAGCAGGGCAAGGTGGCCTTGGTGGCACTCACCACCCACCTTGTGCTTTGCAGTGTGCACCCAGGAGGGGCCCAGCCACAGGGCAGGGGTACAGGAAGGTCTCACTGCATCTTTAAAATTAGCAGCCTGCCAGGCCGGCATGTGGCTCTGTGGAGCATCGACCTATGAACCAGGAGGTCATGGTTCAGTTCCCAGTCAGGGTATAAGCCCGGGTTGTGGGCTCGATCTCCAGTTGGGGGTGTGCAAGAGGCAGCTGATCAATGATTCTCTCTCATCATCGATGTTTCTCTCTCTCTCCCTCTCCCTTACTCTCTGAAATCAATACCAAAAAAATTTTTTTAAAGATGAAATTAGCAGCTGGTGGTGCCCAGTCAGACCTGAGACCCCGCTCTTGTTTCTGTCCCTGAGAAACAATTTCTCAAACACACAAAAAGTTTCAGTGCAAGAGATCAAGAATTTTATTTAAGAGATGACCGTTTGACTTCTGCAGCTGAGAATTCAGTAAAAACCTAAGCAGTCATAATTAAAAGGAATATGTATTTGCAGCTTCTGGGGTACTTTCTCTAGTATTACTTTCATGTAAAGGCATATGTGACCTCAACCATTTATTACATCATTTCCTCACGTTGTGGTCTACAACTTTGGGGTCATATGGGTATTGCTGAGCCTTTCTTCCTTAAGAAGCTTCTGTGTTCAGAGTTTTGGGGAAGAATGTGTTACTGCACCCACTTCTTAAGGATTCATGATGTGAGTGCATTCACAACTCTGAGAGATGGCCATTTTCTACCCCAAAAAATGTTAATTTTAATTAAACCTGAATTCCTCAAAATTAGTTTCTTAAGAAATACCTTCTAACATCTCCCAGATGGTGGTGTCCTGGAAATTAGAGTTTGGAAAATTCTAGCTTACTAGCATCAAAACTCTGAGCTCTGGGGCTCAACTTGGTAGGTCATCTGGTTGACTTTCAGGGAAGGATGTTTTTGGACACAGCCACGAAGTCCAGAGGGAAGCCATTCACTGCAGACAGCAGAGCATCTGATGAACAAAACAGGACGATACTCCTCCATTCTGCCATTCCGAGAGACAGGATGTTCCTGTTTACAGGGGCTGGGAGGGGGCGCCCTCTGTTTAATCAGAAAGAACTGCCTGGTGGCTCTACCGCTGCGCTTCATTGTAATGAGCTCCTCACTGCCGCTTCTCTCCCTCCTCCTCCTCTACACATAGCAGCCTCAAATGACTTTTTAAAAACCTGAAAGGTCACCACTGCCAGTTGTATCATATTCCCCCCGCCACCAGCAGCAGCATTATAAAAGAATTTCTCAGTATTTCATGTTCAGTAACTGGTCTCTATTGAATTCACCACACACGCGCAGAGGGCTTAGCATTTGGTTTTAGTATTTTACTAAGAAAAACATTCCAACACCCGTAACCAAGGAAATCAGGGAGTCACAGCCTGAGAGGAGTAATTCATACACAAAATTATGAGAAAGGACAGGCACATTGCTTGCCCTGAATGTTAAAGTCATAACTCACGTGATGGGCCACCGAGAAAGTGAGGGGCTGGCTTTGGTGGTTCTGGCAGCAAAAGGCAAGTGCCCTGGATGTATTTCTTTGACAGTGGTGACGCCCGAAATTTCCTTGGTGTAGAAGTTAGGAGAGCTGGTAGCTGGAGCTGCGTTAGGATTAACCAGCTGTCGTGGGACGGTTGCCAGGCCTCAACTTCCTCCTCTGTAGACAAGAGGGTTGGATAAGGAGAGCTCTGAAGATCCTTCTGCCCTTTGCAAATATTTTTTTCCAGTGTGGTGTGAAGAGCTTCAGTAAAAGTAATACAAGCCCTCCCAGCCCTGGGAGTCCCTGTGCGGTCACGTCTTTGTCTTTCATCTAAGCGAGTGCAAAGACTCTAAGACATGCCCAGCTTCACAACCAAAACAGAGAACTTACTATATCTCAACAGATGAAGTATCAACATCCAGCTATTCAGCTCAGTACTAAGAAAAGTTAGGAGCCAGACAAACCTTGTATCTGGAACATCAGAGGCAGTTAAGTGGTTTCATCTGTTTGGACTAATTAATAAGTCCAATATTTCATCACGGTCAAATATTTTTGGATGAGGAGGTAATGATTATTAAGTATAAACACATGACGTAAAACCTCCTTTCCTCCTCCCGTGTTTTTTTTAAATTTTGCATTGTCCAATGACTGTAATATTACAGTCAGAGGAATTTAAAATCAAGTACGGCCTCATCTGTTTATCCAGAGAGCAGGCGGAAAGCAGAAGGAGCTGGCCCTGGAACTGTGTCTCATAATCCAAAGGTCGCTGTGCCCACACAGGCACGGTATCTCAGCTGGCTAATAGGCAAGAATGGCTTGCTCAGTCACTTTGATTCGTTTTGAAAATATGTAGCTGGAGCCAGCTTAGTCACTCCAGGGAGTCTGTGTAGCCCCACTGAGGAGAAGAATTAAGGGCAAGTCAGCTCCATAGTAATTAGCTATTTATCAACTTTTGTTTACTTTCTGATAAAGTGACTGTGACCCCCAGTGCCACTTAGTACAGTTCAAAGTGTCAGGGATGGCCAGGTGTTTCATATAACTTTCAAGCTCCACTAATCCATAGATCAGTGGTTTTCCACCTGGGGGGCTTGAAAAAATGCTGATACTGTCCCGTGCTGTGACTCCCAGATGGGAGGGGTACAACTTAGTGGAATTTTTAAAGGCCCCCAAAGCAGTTGCAATGTGCCACCAGGGTTGAGAACTGTTGTTGGGGCACAAATCTGCACCATCAACTTTTAAAAACAAACATGCTTTGTTTGTTTGTGACACTGCTGATATGAAATGTGTTGGGAACATTCTTTAGTTCTTCTAAGTTTATTAAATATTACTAAGATGGTATGTAAGGAATTCCATTTCTAGTGCTTAGGATGTATGTATACCCTGCTCAGTTATCAGTAAAAATTAGAGCTATCTGCCCTCATGTGGCTAATTGCTAATATTGCACCTTTATCTGAGCAGGTTGGAGCAATATGGTGTGACTAGGGGCCCAGTGCATGAATTCGTGCACCTTGAAAGGAACTGTGGGCTGCAAGGCTGCAGTAGGCACAGGAACGGGTCTCGACCCATCTTCTGCGCTCCTGCCCGCCGGGGCCTCAGTCCCCTGTCTGCCAGCAGCCCCACTCCTGCCATCACCACTCCTACTTGCTGAGGGTGCCGGCCCTGCTCACACCTACTGATGGTGCGGAGCAACTGGGGCTGGCACCAGCAGCAGGTGCAAGTGGGGCTGGCACTGTCAGTGGCTTCAAGCAGCAGCTGCTGCCCCGATCACCCCTCAGGAACAGGAGGAGGTGGAGAAGCCCTCAGGGGTGATCAGGGCCAGCAGCTACTGCTCACACCTCCTGATGGCACCAAGTGATCGGGAAAAGCACTGGGCATTGGCAGCGGGTGTGAGTGGTGGCTCTGGCACCGGCTGCGGGTGCAAGTGCCAGGCAGGACTACAGCGTGCGGGGAGCAAAGAATTTTCAGTAACCACCAGAGCCTTGCCTCAATGACAACGACTGGTACCCCACCTTGGTCTGGCACCCCTGCTCACCTGCTCCACCATCCTGCTGTGGCTAATGCCCACCATGTTTTGCACACACACTCCCTGCTGGTCAGCACATGTCATAGCAACTGGTTGTTCAGTTGTTCTGGTTGTTCCACCATTCGGTCTATTTACATATTAGCCTTTATTATATAGGATACTTCACTGAACATGGTCATAGTCACAGTCAGAGACACTCAGTGGCTACATTGAGAGGACTGAAAACAAAGTCCCAGATTCCTGACCAGATTTCTATATGAATTATTAATGTAGCACACACAGCATTATTCTAACATATTTGACAGTACTGTAGACAAATTGCAGGAGAGATGAGCGCCAATCCAGAAGAGATGGTGTGCTCTGATCTACACACAGTTATTTATCTTCAACCCCTCTGAGAGCTCTTTCCAAAGGAAAGACATCTATAATTTTGTAGATAACATAATTTTTAAAAAGTACCAGCATCAACAATCATATCAGCATTTATGGAGCATTTGTCATGTACTAGGCACTGTTCTGGGAACTTACAGGTGTTGTTGATGCCTCACAGAAATCCCAGGTGTTAAGTGTCATTGTCACTTATCACGTTTCAAAGAATGAATGCTCACAGAGGCTGTAACTTCCAACCCAAAAGGTACGAAGCAGCAACATCAGGATTCAGTCCTGATCATCAAACTCTACCAGAGCCTACACCCCTGGCTACTACTAGTATGTTTCTCTTTCTGTGGAAGCTTCAGAAGTCTTTGGAGCAAAGTTTATCTTTTGTGTGTGCGTGACAAAGTTTCATTATAAGGCAGTCATATACATAATTTAGAATACGTACATTTTTTAATGATTATTGTAAAGAAACATAAAATGAAAAATTTCTTGTAGGGAACCCCCAGAGCTCTGAGATTATGTCCATGGATCCTGAGGAATCCATTTAAAAAGAGTTTGTAGTCAATATTTCCTAATGCATTTGACTTTAAAACCTCAGAGCCAAGTTCATCTTGATCTCTATTCTGATACTTTCACAAAGGGACAGCTAACAGGCCAAGCACTTCTAGGTCAAAGGTCACTCAGCAGGGCTGTTCTCTGGGACAGTGAATGCGGGTCGTTTGGAGGGCTTTGATAGACGTGCTCTAGGCCCACTCCCAGGATTTCAGATTTCAGAGAACAGGTCCCTGCGTGATTGTGGTGCTGGTGCTGCTGCTGGTCTGTTGATCACACGTGGGAACTACTGCTGTGGAGCCAGCCTGGCAGATGGCTCTCAGGTGTTCCGAACAGAACCCCCTGTAGCAGGCTCCCTGCACCCCCACGGTGCTCAGTCGCTGCCCACAGAGCTCTGGGAGACCTTATCTGTAAAGGAGACTGAACTAAAGATACATTAGTCCTAACACCCCATGATATAAATGAAATAGTCACAGGGGTGGGCAAACTTTTTGACTCGAGGGCCACAATGGGTTCTTAAACTGGACCGGAGGGCCAGAACAAAAGCATGGATGGAGTGTTTGTGTGAACTAATATAAATTCAAAGTAAACATCATTACATAAAAGGGTACGGTCTTTTTTTTTTTTTTTAGTTTTATTCTTTTCAAACGGGCCGGATCCGGCCCCGGGGCCAAAGTTTGCCCACAGCTGGTCTAGAACCTGGTAAAGAGGTATACTCTTATGAAAATATCAAATTACCTTAATTATTACCACCCTTTGGTGAATTCAACTGAGTATATAAAAGTAGAAATAAAAAGACGGGCTTTTAACCCTTGTTCGTGATGGCCTGAGGGTTAGGGTTTCAACATATGAATTTGGGAGGTGGGGACAATTCAACATCTAACATCCTATTTCACAGACATTTCTCGAGCATCCACTATGTGGCTACCAAGAAGTGACTCCAGTTCTTAGGTGGCTACCACTCTGCACCAGTATCCCCTCTGCAGGGAAGCCTGGAGCACCCGCCACTTGAGTGAGGCACGTGGTCAACGCCTCTGACCTCAGAGGCCTGAAGGGTCTCTTATAGACAGAGAGGTGGGCTTCATGGACACTCGAACTGGGTCTTGCTAGTTGGTAGAATTCACTAGTGGAGGCAGCCAAGAGGCTTTCCCGGAAGAGAATAGTAAGAAGAAAATCACGTGGGCCAAGAGGCATGTGATGATGTTACTCTATTGTCATTGAGTTACCAGTATTATCTGTCACAAACAGCACACCTGGCCCCACACCAAAGGCCTCCTAAGCTAGGAGGAGGGTTTCCACTTACCTGGAGTCACACTGCCCTATCCGCCCCAAGAAAACATTCGTACACCCCACTCTTGATCCACATCGCTGCCGCCTCTGCACAGCCATTGGTGGTCTTCACCTCCTCATCAGTAGCAAGCTTGCCTCAGTGTCTAGTCTCCAGCACACAGGTGTCTGTAGGCATTTCAGTGCCGGTAGGATGAGAGCGGGGTAAATTCTTGGCCATGGCACCATTTGACCCACTCTTTCTTTAGTGAAATATGATTTTACAAAAGGCCCTTGGAGCTCCCAGTGCTCTTCAAGATGTCACTGGGATCCTTCCCAGTGGATGGCTGGGGTGCCTTCTCAAGGCCTGTTCCACTTGCCCCCAGCTGGGCGTGTCCAGAGTGTCTGGCACGCTTTCCATCCCAGCTTCACATCTCCATGGAGCTCAGTGCCCAGCCCTGATCTGTGACCCCGCCTGGTCTGGCTGTGCTGCCTTTCATCGGCTGGATGACAGAGGTGAAAAGGACCAGCTTTGTGAGCCCTGCGCCCGCCCGAGGCCCACTGCCTGAGCTTGGGGATAATTTACGGCGTGTGAACATTGGCCTTTGGAAGGGAGTATAAATCATATCGCATTGATGCAGCCTGCCTCCTGGAAAGTCCTGATAAAAGGGCAAGGGTTCACATTTCCCCACATGAAAGAGAAAGAGGCTGGATTGCCTAAATGGGAACAGCTGAGCCCAAAACATAGAAGAGTCCCTCTTGCTCTCTTCACCACCTGGGCGTACTGTCAGTGCTCCCCTGAAAACCATAAAACCCTCGCACGTTCCACTGTCAGCCAGTCTGCCCAGGCCTGCCTTCCGTGATTCTGTCTGCGGGGCTGGATGTCCTCCGGCCTCCCAGATGGACCAGAGCCCGTCTCCTCTCTCAGGGCACGATGAGAAGGCGGAGAACGCGGTGAGAGCCGGAACCTGCTGTGCTTCATGCAAGGAGTTTCACCAGATGAAGCAGACGGTGCTGCAGCTGAAGCAAAAGGTACATGCCCCGCGTGTTAGACACAATCACAAAACAGCACTCGGCAGAGATAAGGTGGGTGAATGCTTAGAAACAGGAAGGAAATAAATCCACAAACTCGTTGAGCATTCCCTGGGGTTGGTGCCAACTAGGGTTAGGCTTGAAACGTTTGCCCACCACCCTCAGAGCTGACCGTCTGAAGGGCAGCAGAACACAACGAAGGCAGGACATGGACTAAGTGACTAATAGGCCCCCAGGTTAGGGGCACCTGGTGGAGCTGTGGAGGATGAACTATGACAATTGGGACTTTTTTATGAAATGATCATCCATACACATGGCCCTGGGGCCAACATAGGCGATTCCATTTTTATCTGATATTTTGCCTATATTCTATCAATAGGGAACATCCTCTCTGTACACCTCCATAAGCTGGTGATGACTTTCTGTGGCAGCTTTATTTTTCACATTTAAAAATTATAGCCTGTGCTTTGTCTGGGTTCCACGTACCTTGGAAAGCAGCCGTTTGGGCACCCTTGTCACCAAGGGTGAGGACTGACTCTCCCTAAAAGTCTCCCACGCATGCCTGGCAGAACATCCGGGTTCTAATAATGGCGGTGTGCTGTGGGTAATGCCCTGGGATGGACCTGGTGACCTGGTTTCTTGAACAAGCATCCTCCCCCACATCAATGGTATTTATTATACCTATAGTCAGTCACTTCACCTGTTTGTCAGCAGCTCAGAAATTGCACTTATGCTGATAAAACACAAACTCTGGATTTAGAAGGAGGATCTCTATATCCCCTCTGAGCTCTAACTGGCTCAGGTAAAGGGAAATTATCAATAGTGCAAAGAATCTCCTGGCAGTAGAGCCATCGCTTCCTGACTGAAGTTTCTCCTCTCTCTGCAGATCGCCCTGCTCCCCAACAGTGCCGCCGACCTGGGCAAGTACAACACTGGTGACAAGGTGCTGGCCTCAAACGCCTACCTTCCAGGGCCTCCTGGCCTGCCTGGGGGTCAGGGCCCTCCTGGTGAGTGTGGACAAGGGCATCGAAGGGCAAGAGTCACCAGCCAAGGGCTCATGTTTAGTGGGGGCTGGGCGGAGTTCTCTAGCTTCCGTCCAGGGATGAGAGCAGAAGCAGGAGTCCAGGGAGCACCCACACCTGTGTGACCAGAGGGCCTTGGGAAGTTGGTCCTCAAGCCCGAGAAACCCTCATAACCAACAGTATTTGGGGAGAAAAAGGTCATTGTCTTTTTCTTAAATGTCTTAGAGATCATTTTAAATTACAGAGAAACAAAATGAAAACTATTTTTTGACATTGATCTATATAAAAATAGATTGGTGTAGTGAACTCCTACGGGCTCATTGCCCAGCTCTCCGGACTCAGGGCCAGCCTGGTGTCCACTATTCCCTAGGTCTCTCAGATGCTGAACGCTGTACTCTTGACCACTCTCCAGGTGTGGTAACCGCCACCCTGCTATGATTGATGGGATTCAGAGGAACCAGCAGTTCTAAGAAATGTGAAAGAGGTAAAATGTAGAGGAACTGGTCACAGATTGGATGAGGGGGTTGTGGAAACAAGGAAGTCTATAGGAAGACTCAAGATTCTGGCTTGAGTGGACAGGTGACTGGTGGTTCATGACAGAGAGGGAGAGGCGGAAGTCCATTTAGACTGGGTTAAATTTAAAATGCCAGTGGGACATCCCAAAGGAGGTGTCAGAAGGCAAAGGACAGAGTGCACAAAGAAATGGCTACAAGGGCTCACAGACTTGTGAGCCAGCGCCCTGGCCTTCCTCGCAGGATGCGAAGCTAATGAGCTGTTCTTTGATTGCAGGCTCACCAGGACCAAAGGGCAGCCCAGGCTTCCCGGGTATGCCGGGCCCTCCTGGACAGCCGGGCCCACGGGGCTCAATGGGACCCATGGGACCATCTCCTGATCTGACCCACATTAAGCAAGGCCGCAGGGGCCCTGTGGTCAGTATTTTCTCAGAGATCCACTTACTTTTGTTGAGGAAATCGTCTTCTTGTTCCTTGCTTTTTCCTTCTGTTAAACGAGATCCCTTTGTCTTGTAGGGCCCACCAGGTGCACCAGGAAGAGATGGCTCTAAGGTAAGTCTCATGAATGGTCCTTAACAGCCAAAGGTTTCCCAAGTTCAATAAAGCTCAAGCACTGTTTACTGTCCCTATTTTGCATGACAAAATTGAGACACAGATACACTTTCCCCCCCAAAGCTGGGAAGAAAATCTAAAAAGCAATTTCCTTAAAATAGGAAATAACCATAATAACAAAACAACCACCAAAACCACTCCTAAGAGAGATTACTCCTATGAATTTTTTAAAATATTTATTAAATTGATTGCGGTGACATTGGTCAACCTGAACCTATAGGTTTTATGGTGTGGGTTTCTATGTTACAAGATTTGTATGTTGCACTGTGTGCCCACCACCCAAAGTCAAGTCTTCTCCTATCACCTTATATTAGGGCCCTCTCCCCCATACCCCCTCCAATGAATTTTAAACAAGCCCGTGTTGTCAGAGTAACACATGCTTTTCTCTTTAGCCAGTGTTCTTCTGTAGGGCTATTTTGTGTGTGATGTATGTAAGTCAACAGCACAGGTCCCTTCTGTGCAAGTGGGGGTGGTTTCACTTTGAGAACTGCCTGCTACTTGTCTCATAAAGTCAGTGTGAGTTCCTTCAGAAAGCTCCTAACTTATCCCACACCTTGCCTGGGAATGCAAGCATTCCTCTTGTCAGATCTGGTTTTAAAATACATGACCTCGGGGAAAATATGAACGAGAGACACTTGACCCAAGCAGTCTGTTCAAATAAGTGGTCCCATGAGTCCAGCTTAAGCTTACATTTGTTTCTGATGGAAAATTGTTGTTGTTTTGGGCAGGGAGATGGTCATGGCGGGTGTCTACATAGAGACTGTGGTGGTAGCCTCCACATGGTCCAAGAAGCTAACCCTGACCTTTCTCTGCTTTTAGGGGGAGAGAGGAGCTCCTGGACCCAGAGGGTCTCCGGTAAGTAGCACCATCTGCCTCGCTTCCCCAAATGTTCTTGGGAATGCAGCTCTGAGAAGTCTGTAAGTTCGTCTTAATAGCAAAAGCTGGCTTCCTCTAGCTGTCACTCAGCCCGCCCAAACAGAACGAGGTGGTTAGGAGGGAAATCATGAAGGCCTTCAGCAGCTGCTTAGAATTTATTTTGAAATTTTGTTTTCTATTTCTTTTTCTTTTTATCATGGCTAATCTTTAATTGGAATGTCTTAAGATTCAAAACCTCAGTATGCCATGAGTCTGTTTTCAAGTATGTCATCGAACATCTGAAGGAAACTAGAAGAGAAATCAAAGGGCTAAGTCCTAACTCTGAACACTTCAGAATTTAGCCACCACTATAGCCTTAGCAGGTCAGGTGACCATCCCCTCAAGAGAGTACAGAGGCATGCAGGGGGGTTGGGACCACTGAGAAGAAACTAGCTGGATAAATGCATAGTATCTGGGAGATTAAAAATGAAAATCAGTAGTATCCAATCTCTTATCCAAAGCACAGAAAATTCAAGTAACTCCATTGCTTTTGAAGAGGTCAGTGTCATTTCTGAAAAAAGTCAAAGACCTTCAGCGTTAGAGGTAGGAGGTCTGGATTCCATCTCAGCTCTTCCATCTAGTAGCTCTCTGGTCATGGTCATGTCACTTAGCATCCCTGGGCACCCATTCCCTCACCTGTGCAATGCCAAGTGGAATCTGATCTGGCACCCGTCTGCCAGCATCCAATGATGTCAAAATACTACACATCTTAAGTATTTGCATGTGTGAGCTGCTGTTTCTAGCACAGCACAGAGGTTCTCTCCGCTTCCTTTAAGTTGTAGTTACAGACAGGCATCCTTATAACACTAATAATTTTGTTTTAAAAGATAACATTTTTTTTAGCATTTACTATGGTCTCAGCCCTTTACATTTAATAACTCATTTACAGACGCACTTGGAAGCCTATGAAACCCAATGAAGTTGAGTCTATTATCTCCTTTTTATGGATGGGGAGATGGAAACCCAAAGAAATTAAGTAACTGCCCAAGACCAGTAAGTGGCAGACTGAGATCCAAACCCAACAGAGCCCCAATCTCTTAACCCCTACTCTGCCTCTATCGTATCATCCAAGTTTCTTTGGAAAATCACATGGGACAGGTTATTCTCCTATCCTTTCATTCTGCCAGATTTGATTGGGAGAGAAGAAAGGTTATACAAGTGGTAAGGGAATCAGAAGGCAATTGGAAGAATCCCTCAGGCTATGCTAATAGTCCGTATGTCTTCTCCATTTGGGACGCAGAATTATTGACCCAGTAGTTGCCAGCACACAGCAGGCATAGCAAACTATGGAGCCCTGCAAACCTTCACTTTGCAAGGGGCTGAGTCTGTGGTTCTGGCTTTGCACAGGGGCCGCCTGGTTCTTTCGACTTCCTGCTGCTGATCCTGGCTGACATCCGCAACGACATCGCCGAACTGCAGGAGAAGGTATTCCGGCACCAGATTCACTCTTCCCACTCTTCGGCAGAGGAGTTTTTACCTCAGGAATTTGCCAGCCATCCGGAGACCATGGACTTGGGCTCTGGAGACGACTACTCTAAGGGGACTGAGACAGGAGACGTGGGGACCCCCAGGGACTTTTATCCTTAGCACATAACAGCATCTTCATGCCAGAGGAAGAGAAGTTTTCACACCTGCAGTTAAATCATCTAAAGAGAAGACAAGAAAACAAAACCCACCACTGGAGACCTAGACAAGATACACTTTAATGATCTTTGCTCTTTTCCTGCCTTCTCCCTACTTTTTTTCTCCCAAGTACTATTTTCATAAGCCCCTACTAGAGGTTCTGGTTATATGAGGGAGTAAATGATTGGTTTATATCCCTCCCTCTGAGAGCAGTTGACATTAGAACTGCTCTTTTATTTATTTATATTTTTTGGAACTTCTGGGTTTCTGAGTTAAATATTCTCACAGTATCTTAAGTTTGACAGAATAAAAGGGAAAAGTGGCAAAGTGAGCTCCAAGAAATGTTAGATTACTTATTTAAAAAATTAGACATGTGTCCAAAGGAGACTATTACTCCTCAGTATCAAATAAGGCTCTTCAATGAAAAGGGCAAGACAACAGTGTATATTTACTTTGGTGGATAATTCTTTGTCCTTGTTGATCTAATAGATATTCAATATTCTAGCCTCTTGTCCAACCTCACTTCCCAAATTCAATTAAAGAAAGGAGAGAGTGAAGAAGGAACAGTTAGGGAAGATGGAGAAAATTAATCATAATATTTACTGCTATATAGGTTGCTACATTCTAAATTCAAATACAACTATTAAATGTTCATGCCATGCTTGTCTATAAGTATCCTCCTCAGAAAAGGAAGTTACCTAGATATAGGACTAAGTCTTCTTTTCAAAAAAGAGAAGTAAATAAAGCACCCTGATTCACATTAGGATAATGGGTCCCTGTTTTGCCAGGACATTTTAGAGCTGTTTGATCAAACGAGTGGGCCTGTTCAGTAAATCACAGATTATCGGTTGGACAAAGGTGGATGACCCTTAGAGAGAGTTGCAGAAATTCCCAGGCTCTGACTGGGTGCCCATTAAAAAAACAGAGGTGCCATTAGGCTATGATTCAGGTTGGGTTGATGCACAATGGGACTCAGGGCTAGAAGGAGGTAGCTGGCTCAGGTTGTTGGCTAGGGGGAGGGGAATCTTGGGCAGGGACCCCACTAACCACAGAGACAAGTAATGAGCTTTCCTCGGGGATTAGAAGTCTTCATCTGGGGCCAGCCAAGCTTGCCAGCATAGAGAATTATACACTATTGAAAGTTCTAGATGTGGAAGGGGGGAAAAAACAGTGTGGCAGAAATTTCCTTCCCACTAGTCCCTGTTTTTCTTAATTGTCCATAATTTAGTTCAAGTTCCAGATGTTGCAGGCCTTCTCCTTCCCAGCCAATGCGGAAGGCCTTGGGAAACGGGCATATTCCCACCTCCCATTCCGTCAGTGTTTGCTTGTACACCTCTGGGCCCCAGAGGAAGCAGGCTCTGGAGCAGGCTTTCTCTGGATCCACAGAGGCAGGCGCGAGAGGACGTGCTCCCAAGGACCAGCAGGAGTGGCTTCTCCCTTGTATCGTTGGGGAACCGCTTAGTTTTGAGGGCAGCGTGCAGGTTTCTTGAAGTACAAGTTCTCATTTGACACACGGACTGGCTTTTCATCCACCTGGTCAGGAGCCCTTCACCCTTACAGTGAACCTCACCAGTTATCCTACCACAGCTCCTGTTTGCTTGTGTTGGGGTTTCCATTTCCCATCCTATATGATTTCCTCCCATATTCCTGGGAGATTCATGTTCAGTTTTCTTTTCCCATCCTTTAACTCTCTTCCTGGGAAACTTGTTTCAAGAGAACCGCTGTTGGTGTTTGCGCGCCACCGTTCCAGCAAGCTTCAGGTTGATGGGCAGGGTTTCTGTTTGTGAATCTCAAGGGACAGTAGCCTTCCCTCCCATCATTCGAAACTCGGGACTCCAGTCAGTCAGCCAACAGCCGAGTTTTTCACAAACACGTCCGTGCTTCTTCCTTGTGCAAAATTCCTAAGGACTGTCCACCAGAATGTCACAGCTGAAAGCCACACATTCCCAACACTCCTCTCCTAGCACTTCCCTTCCCTCTCCAGCCTCGCCAGCACGGGTTTACAAGGCAATGAACTGAGCAGCCGTTGCTTCGCATCTGGAATATATGTAATGTTCGCCTGCTTGTGGAGTACAGTATTTAAAGGGTGTGGGTGGATGAATGCTAAAGAAATTTGTGCACAAGCTCTATGAGAAATTATTAGGTCTGTCTTTGATTTGTTTTTAATGAGGAATTTTATTACCTTTTAACAGTGAACTGTGTTTAGAACTATAATCTTCTTTATTGTTAAATGCTCATAAAATGCAAGCAAACTGCATGTTGGACATGCAGAAGCTAGGATAAATATATTAAAAGCATGAACTGATGATAGTAATATCTTGGATTCATGAGACTATTTTAGATAATATTCTCCAGCAAAACACACAATAACCTCTATTTTATCATCTCAGTCTGCTGGATCGGGTCAATTTATAAAATAATTATTCATCCTCGGATTTTCAAAAGTTGGACTAGGACCCCAGGACTAAATATGCACTCTGGATGTCCAAATTATATTTTTCAAAGATAAGACATAATAAGGCACTGTTATTTCTAATGTATCTTTCAGTTATGCATAGAAAACCAAAGCTTTGCTAATCTAAACAGGCCAGCTGCTCAAAACCGAATGGAAAAGCTGCTTTGGGGATAAAATTTTTAGCAGTTTTGCTAAACCACTTCATGGTTCAAGGGGGAAAGGGTCTTTGTAACCTCTTCAACCCGCCAGCAGAAATGTTGACTTCCATGTTTTGCACCCTGATAACTAGGACTTGTGAATAGGACCTAAATAGATTGCTTCTGTTTCAGGACAGCAATGGGAATAAAAATCTGCTATTGGAAATAGTGCAGGGAAGGTGAACATTTTAGTTTGGGAATATCTCCCTCCCTTCCCAGTTCCAGAGAAGGAAATGATAAGCTTCACTATGCCAAAGGGCATGGGGGTACAGAGGGAATGCTGTCTTCTCTCTTCTTCCCTGTTAATTCCAACACTTGCCACAAAATGAATTGACCAACTGAAGTCATTTCTATTGTATAAAGGCAGACAGGTGTGTCCACAGTTAAACAGGTAAATGATAAATGCACGTGGGCATCAGTGGGAGTATCACCCCACCACATAGTACGTGGAGGGCACCCTGGTTCTGGTCATGCTCCCTCTCCAGGGTTCGTAACTGCTTTGGCCTCATGAGCTCCATTTCCAAACATGCCAGGGAAGATAGTGTCTGTGCCAGATGTGTCCCTTGGGGTGACAGCAAATGCCTCATTGTACTTGGGTGTACTCCCCCTCCTTCTGTCCCCCCACTCCAGCCTGTCACAGAGAGAAGCAGCGTCATTGTGCAAACTTAACATCTATCAGATAGCCTTCCTGAAAAAGATGTATATTTGCAGGAATCTGGGCCAAACAACTAGTAGAATAGAGCCATCTAAAGTTATTAATGATGAATTCAGGGAAGTTGATGGATTTTCCTTGGCACTGTCAGCATGTATGTCTCATAACAAATAAAAAAAATGATTTTCCATTTGAGAAAAAAACACATGCGACCATGACATAATTGTTAAAAATCTTGGGCTTCATGTGCTCCTTCAACAAATACCATTAGTGCTTTAGGGAAACCATAAGAAGAAGAGCCTTCCACATCCCCCAGGGACCTTGGTGTTTTTTGTTATTTCCCCAAAGCAAGTGCTGGGGGGGGTGGGGGGCGTGTCATCCATGTGGGGACTTTCTTTACTGCCCAGGGACTAGTCCTGTTCTTCAGCAGCTATTTTGTTCATTATTTATAAGAGGTTCACACAACAGCTGAGCTAGTATGCAAATAGTTATGGATGTGATACTATGAAGTACTTTGATAAGATTGTATATGCTTAATAACAAAGTTATTTTTCTTACGTGGTTGTACTGTGTTTTGTCCTGATATGCAGTCCTGTACGAAGTGTTCTCTCTCTACAAGATGAATACAAGGGACGGAGAGAGGGAGTTCTCTCCAGAGCTGGAACCTGCATTCTGGGTAGGACACCTCCTGGGGTACCAGTGTGGTCCCAACATTTGAGCCTAAGTCCAGGTCTGAAGGCCTAGGTTCCACTGAATTCTGAGTCTCAGAGGCCCATATCCCCCAGCTGGGATTCTCTGGTCCTGCAGGAGGGGTCTTCAAACCAGGGACCCTCAGGGGATCACTGAAGGTGCCTAAGGTGCTCATGTATGGAGGGCCTGTGAGGGTTCCACCTCTCCCTACACCCACTGCACCCCAAGCAATTCCATTTTTAGTTGGTTTTGGATTAGAATTTCTCATTAGGTTTCCTTTGGAGGAGAAAAAATGACTGCCTTAAAAAAGGTTAAAATAGATAGAGTTGAGGGGAGGAAGCCCCATGAGTTGGTAAGTGAAGTGCCCGATATGAGGATCAGAGGAAGGGAATTTTCACCAGCGGGGCCATACAGGAGGCAGTTATAAAACAATAAAAAGGGAGATTACTTCTAAGGGATTTTTCCCACTCTAGAGGGTGCCTTTAGCATCCTGAAGTCATCCATCTTTACACATCTCCCTTTCCTTTCGCGAATATTTATCAAATGCTTGCTGAAAGCTGCACGCTGTGCTATGCACTACAGACACCATGGGGAGCGAAAAGGCCATAATCCCCACCCTCCTGGGGATTTTTGGCAAAACGGACAAGGATCCTTCCAGGCAAAATAAATTACATAAACATGCAATTACAAACTGATAAGTGCTATGAAGAGCTGTACGTGTGGCAAGAGCCAATAGCAGCTCATGCCAGTAGGACCCGCCCTTCACTCCCGTCACACATGGAGCACCCCACAGCACACAACAGCGTCCACACCAAGCCACAGGAGACCTCAGCCCTCGCAGAGAAAAGCTGCCCCAGTCCTCGGGGCGAAGCTGCAGTTGATGGAAATCTGGGATGCCCCCTTATGTTTAATGTTTCCTATTCTTCCTTTAAAAAGCGGCTCAACGAACGCACACTGGCTGAAACACCCTCACTGCTTCTGAACACCCCGCATGGGAACCTCGTGCTCTAGTGTGGATCCCAGCGGAACCTGAGGCCAGCTTCTCCCCTCCTGGTAGACCGCAGTTTTGAAAAAGCATCTGCGCTTTAGAAACACCCCCAGCTCCTGGAGAAAATCTGCACATGGAGATTTAAATACCAGCTCAGGTCCAGATTCCACGTTCCAGGGTGGCCACGTGCAAATCTGCACTGGGGGTTGGGGTCACAAGGAATCCTTGAAGGTTATGTGGGGGCGACTGCCGTTGAATCGCAAGGTTCTGGGGAACTGGCAGATGTGAGGATGGGGGTGTGTTTGTTTCCTCGGGCTGCGGTAGCAAAGCACCACATCCAGGTGTTTAAACAACAGAAAAGTATTTTCCTACAGTCCTGGAAGCTGCAAGGCCAAGAGGTGTCCCTACCTCCTACAGGCTCTCTGTCCAGGTTCTGGTGGTCAGCAGCCGTCCTGGTGTTACTTGCCTGTGATGTCACATGCTGTTCCTCCTTCCTGTTCCTTTGTCACTCTGTCTTCACGTGGTGTTCTTGCTGTGGGTTCCATTTCTCTGTTTTCTTGTAAAGACTTACTGGATGAGGGCTTACCCTAATCCAGTATGACCTTATCTCAATTTAACTGGTTATATCTGCAGAGATCCTATTTCCAAATAAGGGCACATCCTCAGGTTCCAGGTAGCCATGAATTGGGGGGAGGGGACACTTCAACCCAGTGCAAAAGGAAATTTTCTCTCTATCCATTGGCTTGTATCACCCTGCTTATTTCCTTTAATAGGATTTTTCCAATCTAATTTTTTTTTTACCCGAGGATATGTTTTCCATTGATTTCTACAGAGAGTGGAAGGAAGGAGGGGAAGAGAGAAAAACATCGATGTGAGAAAGATACATTGATTGGTTGCTGGGGCTGGGAACCTGCAATGGAGGTACGTGCTCTTGACTGGGAATCAAACCCGCGACCCTTCGGTCTGCAGGCTGACGTTCTAATCACTGAGCCAAATTGGCCAGGGCCAATCTGAAATTTTTACTTGCCCACTTCACTCAATAAAAATGTATTGAGGGCCAAGGGTGTAAAGTAGTGACAATACAAAGTCTCTGCTCTCATAGACTATGCATTCTGGTCCAGGAAGACAGACAAATGTATGTATTAGGGTTCTACAGGTTGGGGCAAAAGTAGGTTTAC